TAAATTTATTATGGTTTTTGCTCAGAGTGGCAGGTCAGGCATGCCATATATATGGCATTTGTATGTAGGGGTGAGAAAACCTCTAAGAGGCATATGGAAAATATCTTCCATGAAGAACTAGCATACCTGCGCAACTCCGATTCTAGCAACAGGACATAGACAATATAATTTTCAATTTATAAGCTACTTCATATCACCTAGTATTAGAAGGCATATGGATCTCAAGCCGCGAAAGATTATAGGTTAAATTGAAGAAAAGTTCAACATAAAAGTTTCATATATTAAAGCTTGGGATGCCAGAAGGAAAGCTATTAAAATAGTGTTTGATTGCTTGGAGGAGTCTTACCGAATCATAATTTTGTTCATGGACGCTATTGTGTTTTCAATGCCTGAAACCGTTTATAAGATACAAACGTCTAAGAATCATAGATTTGAGAGATTATTTTTCTTGTTTGGGTCTTCGATAAATGGTTGGAGCTACTATCGCTCTGTTCTTTGTCTTGACAACACATTCTTGTTTGATAAATATAGATGCACTTTACCACACTTATTAATAGTGCATGATGGAGGCTATAGTTTTTGTGAGTTTGGATAGTGTCAGTCAAATGAGATACAAGAGGATGGATCATGACTTACTTATAGCTCTGATTGAGAGGTGGTCGCCACAGACGAATACTTTTCACCTCCCTGTTGGTGAAATGAATATTACGTTGCATGATGTCTTAATGATATTGGAGACACAAATTGATAGACATACTTTTATTGGACACCTAGTTGTTGGTTCAGGCATACGATGGTTGAGTTGGTCAGATTGTTGTGATGATTTACTTAGCTAGCATCTTGACCCTGATGTTTTGTATCATGACCCATTCAATCCACAATTTACAGCAAAGTTTAGGATTGGCTAGGCGGATGCGCAGACATGTGCTTCACTGAGATGGTTGAGGTGGACTTTTTGGAGGGACTCTTATATTGATTTTTCTAAGATGGATTTTTTGGAGGCATATGCGAGCTTACATCTTATTTCTGATTGGATGTCACCTACTCTCAGATACTTCAGGCTCTGAAATTCATTTACAATATTTTTCATTGATGGAGGATATAGTGATATTCATGACATACTCACTTGGAGGTGTAGTTATAGCTCATTTGTATAGGGAGTTGTCTAAAGCAACTAGACCAAAATGAGCAAAAATAGCATGGTGCATCCACTTATTGCAGATATGGGCTTGGGAGCATCTATATTTTGGAAGACCTCAGCTTCATGTCTCATTTCCTGTTCAGCTCGACAGTTTAAGTGTTGGAATAAGGTAATTTGTTATATTTATGTTATGTAATTTTAGTGTTATTGCTAAAATATTAATACATGTCAAATAGGTGGAATGAGGAACAACTTCGATAGGTATTATAAGGAATGTTATGACATGCAGGGATGAGCTTGATGGCTTACTAGAGAGTCGGGTATGTTAAGTACAATTATATTGGTACATTTTATTCATATTAGTTTAATATTATGAAGATTAAATTGTTATATACATAATGATATAGGTAATATGGGAAACATACACTGTAGAGATTCGTGCACAGGTTCCAGAGATATACACTTCAGGTCAGGACACTTGGCTCTCAAGGGTTCCTTTGATCAGGTTGAGTGGCATCTCCCTAATCGAGTACTACGACAATTTGGATATTGCCCATCCACCGATATCATGCCAATGGATCCTAATTTTGTCAGAGTTGATGGACATGGTAAGGTAGATATAGATTGGGCATTATATCACCAGGAAAGTATTGCACTGTATGAGAGCAAGAGAGCATACATTGTTACATGAGATATTCCTGGGTTGGACTATTATTATAAAATGAAGCAGTACTTAGCATGATTTCATTCTTGGGCTATACTATACATGTTAAAGGCCCTAATGGATCCTCCGAGTACATATTATCCAAGATCACAAGCTAAGCGTCACGTGGTAAGTTTAAGTTATGTAAGAAGAATTAAATTCAATTATATGATAAACTTGCACTGAATTACTTATCCTTGCAGCAAGATTTCTTTGTGAGCATGGAGAGAAGATTGCAACCATACTTCGGAGGTACTAAGACGACACCTTTGTAGGTGGACATGAATATTGTTGGAGATATGTGCCAATGATTATGACAGTAGATATACATTAAAGATACTCATTATTTTGACGAGACAGACACTCAGTATACAGTGTTTAGTCCACCCGTTCTGATAACAGATTCATATGACGATGGGTTATCCTCTTATCCTGATCTTGGTCCCTTTCAGAGCCACTTCACATCAGAGTTTGACATCGCTTCCAAACCTCAGTTCTTACCTTCTTCCTTAAAAGATCCTCCAGTTACTCAGCAAGATGTTAGTGATCAGGAGCAGTGCCATCTACATACTAGGCCACTACGAGCACCTCAGCATTTTACTCTAGGCACTGATGCAATTCCACACCGACATAAAAGGATGCATTATTTTTTTTTGTATCATGTATCTTTTAGTTGTTTTAGTTAGATTTTGATGTTTATGTATCTTATTATGCTACTATGAAACTACTATTTTGTATCATGAATTTCAATATGCTCTTGCATTTAGTCATAGATGAAATTGATTTGATGGCATACTTAAAGTATTAATAACTTATATTTAATGAATTGTATTAATGTAAATTAAATTAGATATTTTTTAAGATTTTGTGATGTTTGATATATATATCAAATGCATCTTTCCTTCAAAAAATAGATCATATGTACTTAATCATAATCCTTCTCAGTAACAAACTGATACATATCCAAAAACCTTAAAATTTCTAGAAATAACAAACAAGTAGCTATATTTTCATATTAATAAATCATAATAGAAACATATAAGTAGAAAATCATAAAACATACAAATATCGTCGATAACAGGCTCAAATCACACATATACCTACTCTGAAATTAGATTACTGGTATAACATATGAAAGCTTTAAGGATAATAAAGTCCTTCAACGCTTTTATAGTACGATGCGAGTGTGAGCTTGAAGTTGGGTTTGTATTGAACAGCAACCAAAATTTTGTGTGAACCAAAGTTGGACACATTGTCAATCCGCAGCATTAAGAAAATTCTTCCTCTGTCTATCAGGCATAAAACTCATATCGTTGTATGTCTTGATCAGGATGCATTAGCCTTGGAATCCATATTTCGATAAAGGATGTAGTTAGCAATATCAGTTGTTGGGTTGGCCATGATCTCCTTGAACGATTTATTATCACGACATCAAATTTTAGCAGATCTAGCCTTCAGACTGTTAATCGGTATTATATGTGTTGCACAACGCGAAATATTTCTTTGCACATATTTCTAGCCTTCCTCATTCAACCCATGTAAGATTGATACCTCATAAGATCTAGGTGTGTCTCCCATAGTTTGCAGTCCATCTTATCTGAACAGGAATGTACACATCACCGATAGATTTGATTCGTTCTAGCCTTCTCCTCTAACGCATCATCAGTTGAAAATGCTAAACATCTATGAACTCGATTGCTACCCTCCATAATCAATTGCTTTGAAGAAACTTTTTTAGTGACATGCTTTCTGCTTCAATATATTTTAATATGAGGAGAAGGCTACTAGTTTTGTTGATCATAACAAGAAAAAGAAAGTTAATTTATAGAACTCCATATGAATAGAGATGTAATAATTAGTTGGTCAAAAAAAAATAAAAAATTATATGACAACAAATACTGAGTTGCATTATAAAGTGTTTTGACAACACATATCAATATAAAATGATTTGACCATACAACTTTGCAGGATTTGACTTGACAATACAACTCATAAAAAACTACATCAACTAATACTCATACAACAAATTTTTATTTTTATTTTACTCACGAGGGTAAGTTGCATGTTAACAACTTATTGGCAAAACATTTTTTGTTACTCGTACACATAACGACTAGTTGAGTCAGCATGGGGTTAATAACAGGCAAGTTACGTCAAAAAGTCACATGTTAAACGAGCGACTTTAGCAAGTTATTAAAAAAAATCATTAATTAATCACTTATTTATAATTTAAACGATACTTAGTTTAAAAAATTGCCCAATTTTTTTTTTTATTTAAAAAAATAAGTGATTGAGTCTACTAAATAAAATAGATTTTTATTTATTGATTTCATTTATTAGTTTATTATTATTTGAGAAATGAAGCTTAACTCGGCCAAGCACAAGCAAGTGTAGAACGAACCTATTAAGAAATAAACTTTAAAAATAATAAACATACATTTATATATGTTGATTTATCATAAATATTTTAATTTCTATTCAATATTAAAACTCTACTAAAACAAATATCTTGAATAACAAAGAAGCCTTTAGAAATTATAAATATATTAATTTATATATAAATCTAAGATAAATTTATCAATTAAAAATACAAATTAAGCCCTTAAAACATATTAAGATATTCTAATATTTTTTTGCTAAAAATCTTCAGCATTCATAAGCTTAATTTAATTTTTTAACATTTACCATTAAAAGCTCACACATTTCCCAAAAAACCAGTTTTTATAGTGATGAATTTGATGTATCCCATATTCAAACCCAAATCTTACAATACCTTAAAATATAATATTCATATGGGTCAGTTTTTGGGAAATTATTCTATGCAGTCTCCGGACCATCTGAAGACAAACAAGAATATACCACACCACTTGATACATAACACCGGCACACAGCAAAAAAATGATGTGACGCATCCTGATTCACCTTTGGACGGAGTCCGATGACTGCACTGAATAATTTCTCCATTTTTTGCCACCCCCACCCCTACCCCTAGCCATCCTAGAAATCAAAGCAAAAGGTCCGTTTGAAATAACTTTCTCCCTGCTTTTCAAACTGCGACAAAATTCTATTTGGCTGGTACTTTTTCGCTACATTCTCTTCTTTCTAAAAATTTGTGATGAAAAGTTGTATTTTACAATCGAAATTGCTAATATGTAATAGCTTTAACAAGGCGGCCGTTCGATTGTTTAAACCGAACATATTTATAATATCCATAGCAGCTTTTCATAAAAAATTACAACCATATCAAACACAGATCAAACAAATAAAACGCTAAGAAGGTTCTTAACTCGCATCAATTCTTTTAGAACAAAATGATCAAGTAGTGTTACCCAACATAAAGTAATTAAAAGTAAAAGTAATGGAAGCTCATTCATCTTCCTGACTACGAAGCCTAGCGAGCTTGTTAGTGACAACAATGTCAAGCTGTGCTGCGCGCTCCACAATTTCCTTGCGCTTCTTCGTTGAAATATTGTGAGCAATCTCAGCACAGTAAGTCCTTTAAAAATCAAAGATGTTTAGTCGAAACGATTCTGATTTTTAAGGGCCATTATTGTAAGTTTGAAGAATCTTTTTTTTTTTTTTTTTTTTGGTTCTGAAGTATGGAGGATGAAGGAGGAATGTACCTGTTGTGCATCATGAGCAGTTCCAGTTCAGAGATGTTGTGGACAAGAAACTTGCGGAATTTGTTGGGGAGATAATGGCGGGTTTTCTTGTCAGATCCATAGCCAATGTTAGGCATCAAAGTGCATCCTTTGAATTTCCTCCTCACACGTGAGTCAATACCTTTAGGCCTCCTCCAGTTGGGCTGTCAAAAGTAATTCAAGCATTAAGATAGAATGTGGTTTTCAGTAAAATTTGACAAATTCAAGCATTAAGGCTTTGTTTGGGACGGCTTTCTTCATACTTCTTAAAGTGGTTTTTTAGTAAAAAATTAAAATATTTGTACTAGAAAGCCGCTTTTAAAAGCAGGAAGAAAGCCGTCCCAAACGAAGCCCAAGTCTTTGGATTCGTTTGAGATAACTTTTAATCACTATTTTCTATAATAGTTTTTTTGAAAGCAACGAAAAAATAATAATCAAAAGCTTTCTCAAATGAAGCCTGGCAAATTTTATTTAAAGTATCATTGATGCGCACAACGCATAACACAACTTGAATTTGCATTTTAATGTATGAAGGTGTAAGTAGGATCCAGGCATCTAAAAACCAAAAAAAAAAAAAGAATTAAATTGATTATTTTAATCTAAACAAGTCCAATTAAAATACTTAAGGTTGTAATATGTATATCCTAAGAAGAATGTAATCTTTGTTGTTATTTATTCATATACATCACCAACCAACCTATCTTCATCAGTAGACTGTAGCCCTTAATATCTTAACCTCTCATTTCGAAGCCATCCTCTTAGTCAAAATTTAAACTTCACAACTTGAACGTGTTGTTGCTAAGTAATGAATATTGATTATCACTCGAGAGCCAGGGGAATTCTCCAAAGAATCCATATAGGAAAGAGTCACCTAACTACTCTACCTCTTACATATAGAATTAAAAGTTGCAGTGGAAAAGTTGAATGAAATCCACCTTCCTTACAAGACAGTACTACTTCTAAATAACCATTAAGGCTTATAGAATACTAGTTGGATAAAAATATACAAGAATTGGATGAGCCTCTTAATATTTGTATCTAACGGAAGGCAAAACAACAAAGACTTCTAAGTAGAGTTAGAAAAATTCCAGCTAACTGAAAGCACCCTATAATGATAATTTCAACCAACTTATTTTCCCATAAGATAATTCTCAACAAATCAGGTCGACCAATGGCAAAGAAAGTTTGATGCAAACCACAATTTCACTAGTAGATTACAATGAAGGTATCATATAAAGTTGCAAAAGAAGGTTTCACCCAAACCATAATGCTATAAGGATAATTCTTTACAAGTTCTATTGGGTTATATTTGAAGAGTGTTTACCCTTAAGCATAATCATGTACAGATATAATCTAAAATAAACATCATTACTTAATTGCAAGAGGGTTGGACCTGCGGAGGATCTACTCAAGCAACAAACCCAACAGATACATCAAAGTATGCGATAACACAACTCTTAACACGCCAAGAGAACACCTCATAAGAAATTCACAATTTTAAGGCCCATGTTTTGACTTATAAGTGTCTTAAGAGACAACAGAGAGGGTGGAAACAGTGCCCCCAATCCTCGCCAATAAATAGCCTAATAGGAGAGATCCATGCCCAATCTATTATAAGAACTCTACATTCTAGTTCCCTCTTTCATAGGGCAGTAGGTAAAAAACACCATAATAAAGGCACTTAAATTGTGCTTTAGGAAACACTAAAGTCCAAAAAATAAGATTTCTGAAATGTGTAGGAGTTCCAACGATGCTGAAAACTTCTCAAAAATTCATAACAACGCATCCAACCGATGCATTTAATAAGATTTGCTCCTTACAGGATTGTACTGCCAATCCTAAAAAATGCAAATAACCTTTTTTTGTTTAAAAAATGGTTGAGTTTTAATTTGAAATTTTAAGAGATCATCAGTCAAGCCACCTATTAAATTTCACACCAAAAAACTGTTTGAAAAACAAAATATAAATAAGAAAAATCTGAGTTTTGAAACCTAAACATCAAGCAAAGATAATTTAAAAGGTCACAAACTCCTCACAGATTTAGTGGAAACCCAAAAAACACACAAACATGGGCACATAGATGTATGGCAACGACAAGAGGCATGACAAGTTTTTAAAATTGTGAGGCAAGACGTGCTAAATACAACACAATATATATAAACTCCTAAAACATAAATAACTATTAATTACATTGAAAATATTAAAAAATAGATATAAAATCTTTAATAACTTTAAAAAAATAAAATAAAAACAAACAACTAGTAATAGTATACATGATATTGTTCTTTTAATTTTCAAAGAAAAGAAATCAATTAAATTTCCTTAAAAATATATGCTAAATATTAACCAAATAGTAAGTTTGTTCACGACGCACATGTTATTAAACCAGATAGTAACTTGAAATTTTGTGCACAACAAACATGCCATAATTTTTTCTTCTAATATTTTTAATTATGATATATTTCATCCATGTTCGACATGCTTTCATGTCTAAACGTGGTTGATACTAGTGCATGACAGAGAATAACTTACTACAAAGGCTTAATCAAGAAAGAGTGGTTGATCAAATACAATTGCTTATAAGACAAATTTTTTAGGACTTCTAATTAAAGATCCATTCAATTCAGCTCAATTTTTTACTATTGCTTCCAATATACGATGCAAAGATATGGACATGACGACACAGACGCAATACGACACAGACATGTCAATTAATAAAAATGTAGAACACGGACACAGGTTGTGCACGGTATTATAATTTTTAAATCTTAAAAATAGTGTATGGAATTTGAGTAAACAGAATACTAAGAATAATTGAGAAATAATAACTCATTTAACCAGAATTTGTGCTTAAAATGATTAGTATTAGGATGTTAAAAGTTGGGTGCCGATATCATGTTTCAAGCATCGAGAGAGCAAACGATAATGCTAGAAGAGTCAGGCATCGAGCATCGATGTTGAGATGACACGAGAGCATGATTGTGGGGATAGAAATTGCTAGCATCAAACTTTAATTTTCAGATGGTTTTGAAACATTGATATTGTGACGCATCAGAAATCCTAGTTGTAATCTATAGATAAAAATGAAATGGTATGTTCGGGAAATGAGGTATTGAGTGCGGGCAATTGATTTGAGACAGTTAAGATAAAATAATCATAAACAATTTAAGACACGTGTGTCTAATTTATTTTTTAATTGGACACATCTTTGACATGTCCGATACATATCAAATGTGTGTCGGAAGCGTGTCGTGTCAGACACTGCATACCTTATTGAGGAGAAGTGTCGATGCATCATTGCATCCAATTAATGGCATAAACTTAAAGAACAATATCTAGTCTTGATGGATCACCAATTAATGGATTGATCCATCAATGGCCACATACAATTTTCAATGGATGATCTAGGCTCCAACACCAATCGCTATGACCAAAAACCAATCAAAGCAACTGTTTCTATGCCATAATAGATCAAATACACCTAAAAAATTTTAAGAAATACAAAAGATACATCAATTATGTACCCAATTAAATTCAAACAAAATGATGTAAAAAATAGCAATAAAAAATATAAAAGTTGAAACTTAAATATCAAGTCAAGAAAGGTACCCAATTAAATTCAAACAAAGGGATCACTCACTACTGGTGGATGTATTCATAGATCATAAAAGTACCTTACTATCAAAATCATGGCTTAGAAAAGTAATCAAGGCATGCACCTCGATTTGAGGTGCATGATGAGCACCTCGAGGATTAAGCCTCACTAGTTCTAGTGATCCTTATGCCTTTTTCATACGAGGCATTTTAAGGCGCCGCCTTAAACACTTCGATTTAATTTATGTTTTTTATATTACCCAATACTTAACCTACCGTCCCAACCCACACATATGTGAGGAGCATTTTTTTTTTTCTATTTGGATCAAGTAGGTCTCATAATAGAGGGGCAAAGACGGAAAATCGGTAATATTATAAAATTCTAATGAGAAACAAAAAATATTATAATCAAAATTGAGACAAGATGTCAGATTTCAATATTAAAACAAGTCCCATAATTCTCACAAGAGGAGCAATTTTTTCTTGGCAAAATTAACCAAAATGAAATCTATTAAAATTGTAGAGTTTTGTTTCTTTCAAATGAGACAACATTCATTAAATTTTGAAAAGAATTAAGAAATTTGTGCCCAAATAACAAGAAAGTATCAATTTATGGGATGTAATTAACCTTTTTTAATTAAAAAAGAATAATCCCCTTGATAAATGATCAAACAACGTCCAATTTTACCTTGGCTAAGCTCATTCAACTCATCTCAATGATCAAAATGCAATGGTACTATACATTTTGTGAAACGATATCCTGATAAAAAATTCTTATATGAATAAAATTTGCATGCACATAAAGTTTTCACATACAAATCCACAAAAGACTTATATTGATTTGACATTTTTTTACGTGAACAACAATCATCTGCTTAACTAAAGAGCAGAGCACAACGCAACATAATAAAACATAGAATAACAAAAAACAACACAATATAGCTAGACACAACACAATACAACAATATCAAAGCAAGCCTAGAATCAAATTCATAGTCTTTTGACACGAATAAATAGGAATTAAGCATCAAGAAGTTCTTAATTGATGAAAAAGGGAATCTCTCTGCTCTGATATTTTTTAAAGATCATCATGATCAATTAAAAGAGTGGCCATGACTCCATTAACGCTTCATCTCTTGTCTTAAAAAAATAAGAAAATAAACAATAAACTTAGAGAATTACATCTCATACTTTTTGGAACGACATGGATGTGAACCTAAACCCACAATCTTCTCAAAACAGTAGCAGGACAATCATTAGCAATAAAAAGAAAATAATGTTATCAAGCATGCGTGCAAAAGATAAGTAAGCAAAGGCGGAAGGTAAGAAAAATCTCTAAAGCTCGTCCTTTTTCCCATTTGGAATCCTGGCAGCCTCAACCATGAAGAGCATAACCAACAATGTACTTATGAAGATGGAACGCCATTTACGATTGGACCTACCAAACCCTACCTCTCATAAATTTAAATTTAATCCCATTGAGCATTGTACTCACCTTCACGCATATCTTTCGATCGCTCTGAGGCCTCTTGAACTTCTTAACCCGCTTCTTCACGATTTTTTTGCTAAGCAGCGGTACAGCCATTTCTATGCAAAAACGGAAAAATAAGTAACTACATCCAGAAAACCAAAAAAAAAAACTCTGATGCAAAGATTCAAAACGGTGTCATCTGAATTCTAAATACTTGGATTAAAACAAATAAGATGAAGAAGAAGAAGAATTACCTTCAGAAAACGACAAGATCCGAGTAAAAATTCAAGAGCTGCAAGAAGGGAGTAAGAAAACTGTCAGAATTTGGGATCGAGATCGCTGAAAAATTGAAATTAAAACGAGAGAGCAGAAGCTTACAGCGTCCAACTCTCGAGAACCCTAGTAGGATTTGCAGGATCGAGATCGCTGAAAAAAGGAAATTAACTGGTTTTGGCAAATGCTTTCTTCATGGGCGGGCCCGTATATAATATCTAAATATTATATTCCCAAAAAAAATATCTAAATATTATAATAATCTCATCAATCAATATAATTTAAGTATTTAAGTTTTTTTTTTTTTCAAATTGTAATATAACTACCATACTTAGCTCTCACCTTTTTTTCAATTTTATTATATCAGTTTTGCTATTTTAAAAAATCATACTATTTTGTAGCTCAGTCGATGTTAGTGCAAAAGAATTTCATAGAGACAGATCGTCATTTATATTTCACTCGAGATAGATTTCTTACTGCTTCTTAAAGCTTGTAAAGATACATACATCTTTGATGTATTTGAGAATTTTCAAATCCCGTGCGTGTTTCAAAGTTCCCTCCTTTCTCAAGGATCCAATAAAAACTGAAGTACTGTTCATTTATTGCCACTGAATAATAAATGTTAATTATTCATTCTGCTCTCTCTCTCCCTCACTTTCTGACTGAAAACTTGAGCTCGATAGTGTCAAAACTCGACTCGACTCGACTCGTTTACACCACTAATCTAAACCTAATCATAAACAAATTTCTAAAAAAACATAGCAAAAAAATTCAAAATAAAGGTGCAAAATCAAACAAAAATGTATTGTAAATTTACTTTAAAACAAAAAAATTGCATTAAAATAATCTGATAAAAAAATAGTTCAAATGGATCTCAAAGCCTTTAAATCTACTTTCAGCATATCCCCCCTCACAAATTTATTTTAAAAAAAAAAAAACTCTCAACCATTGAATATAGAAAGTCATTATATTGTATTTCTTGTAAAATAAAAAGAAAACAACAAAGACAAGTAGCAATAGTACAAAAATAAGGGGAGGAGTTTGGAGGCTGCAAGTCCAGAAGACTTAAAACAAAATCAGGCTTTGGCGGCTGCGCCGAGAATGGGGAAATGGGAGGGATCTTCCAGAGGAGGAGCAGTAGCAGCCGGCTGACGTGGATAGTCGCTTACATTCCCGCCTCCTCGCCCGCGACCTCTTCCACCGCGCCCACGAGACGAAGTAGGTGCCCTATACCTCTCACCATCAGCAGGCTTCAGAAATTCATTGATACTCTGCGCCTGCAAACAAGGAGTTAGTGTCCCATTACGTGGGGTCGGCTACATGAATTCTTTTTCTCCGTTGTGTGCTTTTAAAAGTCAAATTCTCGTTTAAATCTAATAAAGAAAGATCATTTCTAATATTTTCTAACCAAGTCTTTTTAGGACTACCTCTACCTTTCTTAACATAAGTCAAATCTAATACCTCTACTTTTCTAACCGGGTTATCGGAAGGCTGCCGTTTCATGTGACTAAACCATCTAAGGCGACTCTCTCTAATCTTATCTTCCGCTGGAGCTACTCCAACCTTTTCACATATATACTCATTTCGTATCCTATCTTTAAGGGTAAAGCCACTTTGAGAGAAAAAATTTCCATTATATGAAATGCAGGAGATGCTCAATACCTTGCGAGATTTCTCGTCCCTTTCAGTGATTTCCTTCTTCTTTCCCTTGTCATAGTCTAACTTCTACAAGTACCAATTAAAATAAAAGAATGATAAGTATTCAGAATAAAAAAAAATGGCAACAAAGACAGTAAGGACTATTCATCAATGAAATACCATTTTTGAAACTTCATCCTCTTTCTTTTTTTCAATGATTTGCATTCCCTCGAAATCTTTGTCAATAACTACTTTCCTGGTCTCCACCTTAAGAGATTCCAACGCCTTTCTCTTTTGTTGCAACAGTTTTTCATACTCAGCAAGAGTCATTTCCTGTTTCATGAAATTTTCAAATTAGTTAGTAAAACCATCATCATTAGCCTAATCCCAAGAACGAAGTTTTCAATTATTTCATTTTTAATGTCTCCTTTGTTCAATTCAAAGGACAACAAGCAAGGCAAAGTAACTAGTTCAACTCCTTACATCATTGATGATAAATATTTTAAAAAAGTTAAACTGGTGGAAAAAACCGACATACATTGTCCTCTTCAGGGACCTTAGGAGTATCTTCAGAAGCAATTTGTTCAGGGATTGGCTTCTCAGATTGCCCTTCATTAGGCTCTTGAGTAGCACTAGCCTCATCCCTGCAACATTAAATTTTTTAGAAAACCAATTTAAAGAAAAAAATTATAAAAAATAAGCATAAAAATAACATACATCCAAATATAAGGTGTTAACAGTACCATATCTGAATTTCAAAACAATGGAAAACTCGCAATGAGAGACATCAGCTAGAGATTTCGACATGTGTATCATCAGAGAAATCGTAGATCGACGGCTACGATTTGGAGCATTTACTTTTGATGTATTCATGTATTGTTTATTATTTTTGCAATTTAGTTTTTCCTATTTTACCCCTATGGGTAGTGAATTCTTGTTGTAGCCCCGAGGGCATTTGAGTCTTTCTTTTTCTTTTATTATTTAGATCTATATATAGAGGTCTTTTACATTGTATGAGGTTAATGATGAATCAATAGAAAAATCTCAGCTTTTCTTTGCTCTTGTTGCTTGTGTGATTCGGAGAGAAGAGAGAACCCTAGGAGAGGGCCAACGTAATACCCGACAGCCGCCAAAAAGTTTTGGGCTCTCGGTTCTACCTTTCTTCTATTATCTTCCTAACTTTTTCGTCTTTATTCCCCATACCGCCGTCCTCTTAATTTCCCCTCCCACCACCTTTTTCCCCTCTCTTCTTCCCTAACCGAACCCCTCCCTGCTCCATAGCCACCGGCCTCCCTTGGCTCCCCTAACAACCGACCGACCCTCCAAACCCCATAGCCGCCATTGGCTCCTCTAGCCACCGGTCGCCCCCTCCAAATTGCCTACATGAATTTTGAATTTCAAAATTCAAACCTTCCTTAATTACATTCCTGAAATAGCTCATATCAATTTGGAAAGTGTCTTTATTTGAAACCAATTCTCCACTTGAATTTCAAATAATTTCCTCTTTGATAATCCTTAATTAGGTAGCCTCCCAATTACATTAAATCTGAAATTAAATTCAGATTTAATTCCAATCTCCAATTAATGCATATGGCCGACATACATTGAACCTAGCACTTATTTCTCCCCATATGGTCGGCCCCACTCTCTCCAATTTAATCCCTAATCCCAATCTCTCCAATTTAATCCCTCATTAATCCCCATATGGTCGCCCCTTAACCCTAATTGGGAAATAAATCCTTCCCTCTCTTAGGAGATTTCCAAAACTATTCCCCTTCTATTTCCTAACCTAAGTCCAAAGAGCTCCAACCCACAACCATAGCCCCTTTGATTTCAATTTGGAGTTTGACAAATCCGTGGAAGAATACATGAACAGAATTATCTACCAACTATCCGCCGCCACCGATCAACGCCTCACACCCATTCGTTGGAACATCAGTCACCGTCCACCGACTTCTTCTACTCCGACTACTTCTCCGGCGAGCTATATCGTAACCGTCACTTATCTCTTAGTGGCATCACTAGGGTTGTTGATATTCTACCTCTGCTAAGACGCTGCTTTCATGAGCGAGAGTGAGGGAACTCAAGGTGAAAACATCTATTTATAAGCCATGGATTTTTGTTATTCATTATCATTAGTTTTACTTATTTATTTTGTTGTTATTTGCAAGTATCCTTTTAATCTCGTTTGTAACAGCATGCTATTCCATAACTTCTAATTGAAAATTCAGGAATCTAACTTGGTGAAACATAAGGTTTACAATTGGTAGAAGCTTTTCAAATCATTGTTAATTTCCAAAGCAATTCTTATTTTCATACATGTTTCACATCATCACCTCTACCATAAAATTTAAGAAAAGTTGGTGATCACATATCCTTTTCAAATGTATCATTCAATAACATAATATGATAATTTAAATTGATATGTGGCACAATTATCATAAAACTCGATGGAATTAAACTATGCACAAATAAAATAGAAGTGACATAATATAACAAATGATAATGTTGTATCCCATTTGATATTAATAGTTACCATATATTTTTACAATATAAAATCTCTCTTTTGATATATAATATTTTTTAGAATTCTTTAATTAAATTGCTTTTTTTTTTAATTTATAGCAAATTATATTATCATTATATTATTATTTTAAAGAT